TTTGATACGAATAGAAATAATAAAAATTCATGGAATTGTATTATTCATACAACGAGATTATTATATGAAATTTAACATTATCTCAATTGTAGAAAAAAAGTTGCTTTATGAAATAGTAACGGTTCTTTTATGACACTTTGATTTGTGTCAAAATTATTAAATATCATAGAATTATTACGTTTCATTTATGACATTTTTATTTATCTAATGAAATGTTATGTTACAAATATATGACATAACCTCAATTTCAGAAAAACAACGTTTATTTACGTGTCTAAATAATCAAAATTAATAAAATTTATATGAAATTATATAATTAATACTACATATTTGTTATAATCAAATTGACATAATCATAAGTACACAAAAAATGACAGCGATTTAAAATAGTAACGGTTCTTTTATGACACTTTGATTTGTGTGAAAATTATTAAATATCATAGAATTATTACGTTTCATTTATGACATTTTTATTTATCTAATGAAATGTTATGTTTGTAAACAAATATATGACATAACCTCAATTTCAGAAAAACAACGTTTATTTACGTGTCTCAATAATCAAAATTAATAAAATGTATATGAAATTATATAATTAATACTACATATTTGTTATAAGAAAATTGACATAATCATAAGTACACCAAAAATGACAGCGATTTAAAATAGTAACACTTCTTTTATGACACTTTGATTTGTGTCAAAATTATTGAATGTCATAAAATTATTACTTTTCATTTATGACATTTTTATTTATCTAATAAAATTTTATGTTTGTAAACAAATAATTGACATAACCTCAATTTCAGAAAAACAACGTTTATTTACGTGTCTAAATAATCAGAATTAATAAAATGTATATGAAATTATATAATTAATACTACATATTTGTTATAAGAAAATTGACATAATCATAAGTACACCAAAAATGACACCGATTTAAAATAGTAACGCTTCTTTTATGACACATTGATTTGTGTCAAATTTATTAAATATCATAAAATTATTACGTTTCATTTATGACATTTTTATTTATCTAATGAAATGTTATGTTTGTAAACAAATATATGACATAACCTCAATTTCAGAAAAACAAAGTTTATTTACATGTCTAAATAATCAAAATTAATAAAATGTATATGAAATTATATAATTAATACTACATATTTGTTATAAGAAAATTGACATAATCATATTACACCAAAAATGACAGCGATTTAAAATAGTAACGTTTCTTTTATGACACTTTGATTTGTGTCAAAATTATTAAATATCATAAAATTATTACGTTTCATTTATGACATTTTTTTTATGTAATGAAATGTAATGTTTGTAAACAAATATATGACATAACCTCAATTTCAGAAAAACAACGTTTATTTACGTGTCTAAATAATCAAAATTAATAAAATGTATATGAAATTATATAATTAATACTACATATTTGTTATAAGAAAATTGACATAATCACAAGTACACCAAAAATGACAGCGATTTAAAATAGTAACGGTTCTTTTATGACACTTTGATTTGTGTCAAAATTATTAAATATCATAAAATTATTACGTTTCATTTATGACATTTTTATTTATCTAATGAAATGTTATGTTTGTAAACAAATATATGACATAACCTCAACGTGTCTAAATAATCAAAATTAATAAAATGTATATGAAATTATATAATTAATACTACATACGTGTTATAAGAAAATTGACATAATCATAAGTACACCAAAAATGACAGCGATTTAAAATAGTAACGGTTCTTTTATGACACTTTGATTTGTGTCAAAATTGTTAAATATCATAAAATTATTACGTTTCATTTATGACATTTTTATTTGTCTAATGAAATGTTATGTTGGAAACAAATATATGACATAACCTCAATTTCTGAAAAACAACGTTTATTTACGTGTCTAAATAATCAAAATTCATAAAAAGTATATGAAATTATATAATTAATACTACATATTTGTTATAATAAAATGAACATAATCATAAGTACACCAAAAATGACAGCGATTTAAAATAGTAACGTTTCTTTTATGACACTTTGATTTGTGTCATAATTATTGAATATCATAAAATTATTACGTTTCATTTATGACATTTTTATTTATCTAATGAAATGTTATGTTCGTGAACAAATATATGACATAACCTCAATTTCAGAAAAACAAAGTTTATTTACGTGTCTAAATAATCAAAATTCATAAAATTTATATGAAATTATATAATTAATACTACATATTTGTTGTAAGAAAATTGACATAATCATAAGTACACCAAAAATGACAGCGATTTAAAATAGTAACACTTCTTTTATGACACTTTGATTTGTGTCAAAATTATTAAATATAAGTGAAAAAATATATGACATAACCTCAATTTCAGAAAAACAACGTTTATTTACGTGTCTAAATAATCAAAATTCATAAAAGTATATGAAATTATATAATTAATACTAGATATTTCTTCTAAATTTAAAACAATAACGCTTCTTTTATGACACTTTGATTTTATTTATATAATTCTGGATTGGATTTTATATAAAATTAACTAATTCGTACTATATGATTGTTATATAAATTTTAATATAACCTCAATTGTAAGAAAATGGCGGCACTATAAAATAGAAACGCTTCTTTTATGACATTTTATTAATAATTTTTTTAGAAATTCCTTATTGATTGTTTAGAAAATTGGATAGAATATGAAGTTTCTTTATGCAGTGCGAAGATCGCTCATAAAACTTGTACGTTAGTTTTAAAGTAAAAGTAACTTTATGCTTCGACATAATTTTGTTGGGCATTGTGCGAGGGTCCTGTAATTTAAATCAAATGGTTCGAAATACGTAAACGACATATAAAAATGGTTTACGGCCGGTATTTATATTGCGTTTTTACGACAAGGGGTGGCGCGTGTAAGGGTTTGTGTGTGTATATATATATATATATGTGTGTTATGTAATACAGTAAAGTCGGCTCTGCGTTGTGCACGGATTTATTTGTTATTTAAATTTTAACGGAACAACAAGCGCGCGACACTTTACGTCCGGTGTGGGGGAGGAGGAGGAAGAGAATGTTCTTTGGTGGCACTCGTAAAGAAGAAGACAAAAAAAAATAAGTTATATAAGAGGAAGATTTAACGCCTCGCCATTCGCTTCGGAATGTATGAAATATTCGTTATGCATTACGCATTTGATGCCTCGGAAAAGTCGTAAAAAGTGGATCGCGAGATAATCCTAATCATTCCTCCGAGTGTATCTATCTCAAGACGACCTGCACACGGTGGTTTATGGTGGAGGAGGCGGCAATTCGAAAGTCCTTTCCCCCACGGCAATTTGCATCAAGATGTCGGCGCGGCACATGCTCACGAAATGAACAATAAACAACAGGAGGAGGATGAGAGCATGGAATGATGGAGATGCCCGAAGGTTTCCTTTGCGAGGGTGGGCATCTCTTATTATTAAATTACTCAACGAGGCATAGGTTACCAACGGTACATGTAATTGCTTCACTTCCGCCATCTAATGGCGACACTTTATTCCCGATTCTCATCCTTCGAAGACACATCCGCTACAGACAACAAGCGAATATTTCAATTTGAACGCGACTTCTCTCTTCCCTTTTTCCCTCCAAACATATTTCATTCGTATCAAGCAGTAAAACGAAATTTCTTCATTTAAATGCCAAGAAGTGAAACGAAAGTAAACTCCAGAATTCGACCCAATTAAACGGTAATAAAATGGTACATTTACTCAGTAAATACCTTTAATGCACTTCTTGCAATTAAAACGCGCAGTTTATATTTCTGAGCAGATATACGAGCTATACCACAGCAATGTTTCATTCCATCTCTAATAGTTGTCGAGAAAATCAATAAAAAGTGAACACTTTACTTGATGTTTGGTTTAATTAATTCTAATATATGACAAAGTAAATTTCTAACTATATTAATTATATAATTTATATTATTTAATGAAAAAGAAATATTGAAAAATAGCATTTCTTAACTGTTTAAAATAAATCACGAATTGATGATTAATCATAAATTCTAGTGAGATTTCATTCAGGAAGTAACAGGATTTATATTTAGTTTCGGATTTGCGATTCGTGTTTTTATGTAATCAATAAGTAATCATGTATTAAAAGGACTTATGTAAGAAACTTTTATATAAGTGTGAAAACTTTTAGTTACATTAAGAACTTTGCTGGAAAAGATCGACGAGATTAACATTTACTTACTTAGAGATTAGTATTTAGTGATTGATCAATTCCTTAATTAGAAAGAAAAAACTTATCCAAGAAAAAAATGTCTGGATAATAAATGAGAACTTGTGGGAAAATATTGATATGATTAATATTTGCTTAGGGATTAACAATAATTTATTAATTAGGATTACTAAGTTATAACAAAAATATAGTAGAAACTTCTAAAAACTTTCAGGAAAATATGTGCAAGATTAACATTTACTGAATTAAGAAAATAACTTTTCTAAGAGAAATAAACAGAAGTTTTTCATTGTATAAAATTTAGGAATTTGTAATTAATATAATAAGAAAAAAATAGAATTGAAGAAACTTCTATATTCTATAAAAGTGAATAAAAAATTAGTTGAGAAATTCGAAATTTTGATATTTTAAGTGAATATTTTATTTTAATTAAGAATGAAACAAATTCATAAGATATGTACAGTTTACATTGTTAATTTTTGTATGTATTAAATTGAATTGAAAGTATTTCTAAATAAGACTGTAAAATGGGATTGAAAGTAAGAAAAAAAAAGTAAATCTTTTGAAGGTTTGAAAGGACAATTTTGTTCGATGAGAAACAAAAGTTATTAATTAAGGTCGGAACAAAAAGGATCTGGATTTCTGTCCGTTTCCATAGCTGTCCATATTAAAAATTAATTAATACCCATTCTTTCATCTCGCCCATACATTTTCGTTTCGATTGTTTTATTTTACACTCTGTCTCGTTTCTTGTTTCCAGTTTTCCGCGAAAAAGGAATAAAGATGGACAAAAATTAATTGAACTCCCCCCTAATGGAGAAGGATTCGGGTCGATACTGTTACGAGCCGTACCCGGCCGTGGCAAAGGGCGGGCCGGCTGCGACCTCCAAGAAGGAGTCATCCAAGGAGGAAACGGCAGCAACTCCAACGACCTGCTGCAAATGCTTCCAGAAGAAGAGCAAGAGTAAGGCCTTCCTCACAGGATTGGCAACGAATTTGGGTATTTGCGTTCTGCTCTTCGGATACACGCTGATCGGATCGGTGATTTTCCTGGCCATCGAGGGTGGACCTTCGTTGCACCATCACCAGCATCAGATTCTCGCCACCACTTCTTTGGCTACCAACAGGAAACGTCCTTTCAACTCGACGGAATTTCGCGCCAGGACGGACGAGTTCAGGGCTAAAACCGTTGAGAATATTTGGGACATCACCGTCAGCTTGAATATTCTGTACAGGGATAATTGGACGAGGCTGGCGGCGCAGGAGATCACCAGGTTCCAGGACGAGATCCTGCGGTCTATCACTGAGGACGGGGCGCAGGATTACGCCAGCTCGGAGGAGAGGACGGCGGCCAGCGGACACGACCACTTCGAATGGACGTTTGCCAAGAGCTTTTTGTACTCGCTCACAGTACTCACCACCATTGGTAAGTTATATCGATCACTGCAAAGTTATGCAATAACACACATTCCCGACCGTGGGCGCGGCTGCTGCGAAGGGTCAACGGCTTTTATGCAATCATACAGAACACACAGAAAAAAACTTTAGTTCTAACTTAAAAAATATCAAAAGCATAAAACAATAAATTATGTTATTTATTTACAATATTTCAACCTAAATCTTAAAAAGTTATAACAAATTCTATTTCACCCGTCGCATACACAATTTTTTATATTGATTTTATTAATGAAATTATTATTTATTCACTATCTTTACTTTAAACTAAAAAGTATTAAAAGCTTCTGATGAAAACGAAAATGTGTGTACATTAGTAGTAAAAACTATAATCATCTATAATTCAGCTTTCCTACAAAGCTTTAAAAAAATTTGTCACCATTTTCATATCGATTTTATTAATGAAAATTATGTGTTAATAATAGAATCTGCAATCCTATAAAATATACTTAAAGACTCTACAATCAAAGTAAAGAGTATTAAAAGTTTAAAAACTGAAAATAAATTCTGTTTCACCCACATTTTTCAAATTAATTTTATTGATGAAAGTTTACAAAATAAACATATAATATTATACTTTATTTACTTTAGATTTATTAAATTCATTAAAAATATTATTTTAAATTTTAATTCCATCACTTCTTTCATATATTTTTTTTTTATTTTAATAATGAATTCTTAAGAAAAATAAATTTATGTAAAGATAATACAATGAATACATGAATTTTATCGATTTTCTTAGTAGACTAAGCCAATATTCCTGAAAACTTTACGACCCAAATTCTATCTATAAAGTCTACACACCTCGCGATCTTAAATACATTTTGCATGGAAATAAAGAAAATGAAAAAGCATTTACCACACGTGTTGAACTTTCTTAATATCCAATGAATATTTATAGGAGGAAAAAGGATTTCAACCCAGTCGGTTTTTCATCCGTATTCACAAATAATGCATACTTTACGATCTGTTTGCACGAAATCCGTTTAAACGCGAAACAGGAAACAAATCGCATACGTGTTTAGCAGCTTCGCTGCGACGTTTCCGTAAATATTTGCACGAGCGTCAGAGAAACCAAACAATTTTTTCAAACCCCACGATTTTCGTTTTATCCCTTCGTTTTTTTTTTAAATGCAAGCTTTATTTAATTAGTCTTTGCGAATGCGAGTATTCTGTGTTTGAAGAGACTAGTTTACTTTACAGTTATATCCGCACGTTTTCTATTTTTCATATTTAATATTTCATTTTAACACAGAGTAAACAGTAGTAATGATTCGAATAAAAAGTTATGATTTCGTTGGGAAATTGTAAATTTTCACAATTTTTGTTTTTGTTTCTAAAATTAGTAAAGATGATAGGTGGAATATGTGAGGGTGGCTGCGCGACAGAGGTGAGCTGAGTTAAATCAATTAAATCTGAACTACGTCCCAATCATCGGGAGTTCGCGCAGATCCGATCAATTCCAATTACTCTCGCATCGCTTTTGCATTTCAACCGAAACGCTGGTTTGTGATGAATAAATATGGGCATGAAAGGAAAAGCTCTCCTCTGCGGCAATCAAATTACTCGGGGATGTCCCTCCATCCTATTTCTCTCTCACCCCAAACAAATTTTCACATAAATGGCCGGAAAAAAAATCGGGTAAGCGATTCAGGTATTTGAATAATCCATAGCAATCGGCGAAAACACGTTTGCAAATTCAACTAAAAAAAAATATAGATTTAAAAGTTATTCTGGATTTTCGAAACCAATAAAGCAATTTCCTATTTTCATTTTAATCCTTATTTTTTTGCTTATTTAAAACTAATTTTATTTCATTTACGGTTTTTAATTATTTTACAAATGTATACATCTAACCACTTACATTTAGCGTTTACGTCACAAATAAAGTATCTATAGAAAATTGACAGTTGACATCCAATTAGATTTTCATCAATAAATACTTATTATAGCTTAAGGATTTGATAGTTAATTGACTTAAGAAAATTGACAGTTGACACAATTTTGACATAATCCAATTAGATTTTATCAATGAATACAAATATAACTTAAGGATTTGACAGTTATTTGACTTAAGAAAATTGACAGTTGACACAATTTTGACATAATCCAATTAGATTTTTATCAATGAATACAAATATAGCTTAAGGATTTGACAGTTGATTGACTTAAGAAAATTGACAGTTGACATAATTTGGAAATAATCCAATTAGATTTTCATAAATGAATACAAGCATAGCTTAAGGATTAGTAAAAATACGAAAATATGAATTCTTAAACGTTTACGTCATAATGAAAATATCCATAAAAAATTGACAGTTGACATAATTTTGACACAATGTAATTTTCATCAATGACAGTGAAATATATAGAAAATGGGACAAAACTTGACTACTTGAGTAAACTTAAATATGACATTTACGTCAGTATGAAAATTATTTAACTATTGACATAATTTAAATATGACGTTTACGTCATAATAAAAAATTGACAGTTGACATAATTTTGACATAATCCAATTAGATTTTCATCAATGACAGTCAAATATATAGAAAATGGGACAGTTCTCCTATACAAAACTTGACTACTTAAGAAAACTTGAATATAATATTTACGTCAGAATGAAAATTATTTAACTATTGACATAATTTAAATATGACGTTTTTATCATAATGAAAATACCAATAAGAAATTGACAGTTGAAATAATTTTGACACAATCCAATTAGATTTTCATCAATGAATACAAATACAGCTTAAGGATTTTTACTATCAATACGAAAATATGAATTCTTAAACGTTTACGTCATAATTAAAATATCCATAAAAAATTGACAGTTGACATAATTTTGACATAATCCAATTAGATTTTCATCAATGATAGTCAAATATATAGAAAATGGGACAGTTCTCGGATACAAAACTTGATTACATGAAAAAACTTTAATATGATTTTTTCGTCAGAATGAAAATTATTTAACTATTGACATAATTTAAATATGACGTTAATATCATAATGTATATACACATAAAAAATTGACAGTTGACATAATTTTGACGTAATCCAATTAGATTTTTATCAATTAATACAAATATAATTTAATGATTTTTACTATTAATACAAAAATATAAATTCTTAAACGTTTACATCATAATGTAAATACCCATAAAAAATTGACAGTTGACATAATTTTGACATAATCCAATTAGATTTTCATCAATGATAGTCAAATATATAGAAAATGGGACAGTTCTCGGATACAAAACTTGACTACTTGAGAAAACTTTAATATGACATTTACGTCAGAATGAAAATCATTTAACTATTGACATAATTGAAATATGACGTTTACGTCATAATAAAAAATTGACAGTTGACATAATTTTGACATAATCCAATTAGATTTTCATCAATGACAGTCAAATATATAGAAAATGGGACAGTTCTCCTATACAAAACTTGACTACTTAAGAAAACTTGAATATAATATTTACGTCAGAATGAAAATTATTTAACTATTGACATAATTTAAATATGACGTTTATATCATAATGAAAATACCAATAAGAAATTGACAGTTGAAATAATTTTGACACAATCCAATTAGATTTTCATCAATGAATACAAATATAGCTTAAGGATTTTTATTATCAATACTAAAATATGAATTCTTAAACGTTTGCGTCATTATGAAAATATCCATAAAAAATTTACAGTTGACATAATTTTGACACAATCCAATTAGATTTTCATCAATGGAAAATGGGACTGTTCTCGGATACAAAACTTGACTACTTGAGAAAACTTTAATATAATATCTACGTCAGAATGAAAATTATTTAACTATTGACATAATTTAAATATGACGTTTATATCATAATGAAAATACCCATAAAAAATTGACAGTTGACATAATTTTGACACAATCCAATTAGATTTTCATCAAATACAGTGAAATATATACAAAATGGGACAGTTTTTGGATACAAAACTTGACTACTTGAGAAAACTTTAATATAATATTTACGTCAGAATGAAAATTATTTAATTATTGACATAATTTAAATATGACGTTTATATTATAATGAAAATAACAATAAGAAATTGACAATTGACATAATTTGGCACAATCCAATTAGATTTTCATTAATGAATACAAATGTAGCTTAACGATTTTTACTATCAATACGAAAATATGAATTCTTAAACGTTTACATCATAATGAAAATATCCATAACAAAATGACAGTTAACATAATTTTGACACAATCCAATTAGATTTTTATCAATGGAAAATGGGACTGTTCTCGGATACAAAACTTGACTACTTGAGAAAACTTTAAAATAATATTTACGTCAGAATGAAAATTATTTAACTATTGACATAATTTAAATATGATGTTAATATCATAATGAAAATACCCATAAAAAATTGACAGTTGACATAATTTTGACACAATCCAATTAGATTTTTATTAAATACAGTGAAATATATACAAAATGGGACAGTTTTTGGATACAAAACTTGACTACTTGAGAAAACTTTAATATAATATTTACGTCAGAATGAAAATTATTTAATTATTGACATAATTTAAATATGACGTTTATATCATAATGAAAATAACAATAAGAAATTGACAATTGACATAATTTGGCACAATCCAATTAGATTTTCATTAATGAATACAAATGTAGCTTAACGATTTTTACTATCAATACGAAAATATGAATTCTTAAACGTTTACATCATAATGAAAATATCCATAACAAAATGACAGTTGACATAATTTTGATACAATCCAATTAGATTTTCATCAATGACAGTGAAATATATAGAAAAAGGGACAGTTATCGAATACAAAACTTGAATACTTGAGAAAACTTTAATATGACATTTACGTCAGAATGAAAATTATTTAACTATTGACATAATTTAAATATGACGTTTATATCATAATGAAAATACCCATAAGAAATTGACAATTGACATAATTTTGACATAATACAATTAGATTTTTATCAATGAATACAAATATAGCTTAAGGATTTTTACTATTAATACGAAAATATGAATTCTTTAATGTTTTCATTATAATGAAAATATCCATA